GTGGCCATGAGGACAATCCACATCGAGATGTCGATCTCCACGAGGTGCGCGACCTGGCTGTCTTGTACGTCTTCCACATACTTGTCAAAAGGAAACAGCTGCGGGAGGTCGTACGACCGCAAAAAGAGGCACCGGAGGAGCTTCACTTGGAGCTGGTACTCGAGCTTGGACCACGCAACGTACCGGTGCACCCACGACTTTTGCTTGGCCGCGTTCAATTCGGTCAAGGCGTTCGCCAGCACGTTCTCGGTCCGGAGGACGGAAATCTTGCCGAGTTCGCGGTTCGCTTTGCGCAATCGGAATAGGATCACTGTCGCTTGAAGCACCATCGCAAGGACCGTGAAGAGGATGAGGAGGTCGGCAAAGTCTAGCGCTTGATACACGAGTCCGTTAGCTTTGGCGAGACCAGTGGACACGCAAAACTTGACCAGGAGATAGATAAGACCCACGATCATGAGCTCTTGCGTCGTTTTGTGCAGCATGTCGGCGTACTTGGGCTTGCGCTTCGTCGCATGCTCCAAAAAGTGAAGGAAGAGTTCGAGGCAAATCACAAACACCAGCACGGCAAACATGAAGAGCAGGACGCGGGACGCCTCAACCTGGTCATACATATTGCCTGAGCCGCTTGCAGCTTGGACCAAGTGGCGCCGGCAGTCGCTGTGCATGCTTGGCTCCATCATCAAGCGGTGCCGCGTGGGTCGTGCGGGTGATTTCAGAAGTGGCGGGATGCGGACGGCGTCGAGATATCCGTATGGAAACGCTTCGAAATATTGGAGAAATTTTGCATTGCAGGACAAAATTTGAGATTTCACACGGTGATATCTCGAAAGCACGCTCTCGGGTTGGCTAAAATTCTGCTTTTCAGTCAATGTACTTCTTCAAATTCGAATTTGCTCGAAACAGGCCAAACCAAGAGCCTGAGACGGGCAAACTGGACAAGGACAAGAATTTGTGAAAATCTGTCCCACCCACTCGCTGCAGAAGCGGCTCACTCGATGGAGCTTCACTCGCTGCAGAAGCGCCTCCGATTCATTGACCGAAGTGACGACCCAGGGGTTCCAAGGTGCGGACAGCTCATACGCTGAAGTGGTGTCCATGTGAGTACCTGGGAATATCTGGATGAGTTGCTGACACCAACTGGACTTTTTCGTTGGATCGCCTTGCCGGCGACGATGCGGTGAGTGTTTTTCAGAGTTTTTGTGAGAAGGTATGTTGTGGGGGGTCAGAGAACTTTCAGGATTTTGTTAGCTGCCATGACCTCTGAGGTGCTTCCTCTCTCGGGGCCTCTCTCCTTGTCAACCTTGTCGACCGACCGCGGTAGTGACAGGCAACTTGCTCGATTGAATTCGGGAAATTGTGTGATTTGACACTCTACGGATATGAATGAGTCTCTGTATCCGGACTCTGCAATATCCGGATATCAATTACCGTATCCGGTGATCCGGAATCCGGATAATAACCGGATTTGCTTGAATCTGGCAGGTGTGGTGTTTAGCGATGGCGGACGCGACGGAGGCGCCGACGCGCAAGTCGCTGCTCATTCCGGTGCAGAAGAGCGATGAGTGGGTGGAAATGTACACCGACGAACTTCCTGAGGATGCAAATGATATCATGGACATCCTCCGCGCTGAAATCGCGCCACTCGAGGTGTGGCTCAATGTCGCGATCGAGTACTACCTCCAGGGCCGCACAGATCAGTTTGAGCTCATTTTTGAACAAGCAACGGTGCCGGAAGCCGAGGAAATCTACAACGATGACGCTGCACGCAAAAGTCGTCTCAAGATGTACAACGCGTGGGTGTCGCATTTCGTGAACGTGATGTGGAACGAAGATGACGAGCGCCGCCGCGAGATTCCCGCGCAAAAGGCGGTTGCATTGTTCCAGAAGGCGGATCGAATCGACGCACAGTGTCCCAACACACTAGTCGGAAAGGCGCTAATGTTCATGGCGAAGGGAGAAGATGATCGCGCCGAGCGATTCCTGAAGAACGTACTGATCGCAGACAAGGAGAACCTCCCTGCAATTCTCGCGTCGGCCCTGTTGCATGTACGCAAGAAGAAGTACGTCGAAGCGAAGAAGTTATATCAAGAAGCGATCGTGCTCCACCCAAAATCCCCCCAAGCGAGTCGAATTCGTATGTGCTTTGCGTATTGTTGCTATCAGATGGGTTGTGTCGACAAGGCCAAGGCTGTGATGAAGTACGCTGCGGCTCTCGACGACAGTAACGTGACTGCCTCGATGGCCAACGCGTTGTGGTCTCTGGCGTCGTTGCCCCCCGAGGAGCGTCTTCGATCCATGCAAGATGAAGGTGACCGATCCACCGTCAGCCGTCATCTAATCTCGTTCTTGCAGGCTCACGCTTCATGTATCTTGTGCATCACGCTCACGCTTTGGATCCTAAACACCCGTCGGCGCTCAACCACTTGGCGAATCACTACTTTTTACAGTGGATTCCATTGCCGGGAACAGTGTCAGTTGTCCGTGGGTCCGCGGTCGCTACAACGACTCACGACATCTCGAACGACGTGGTCAAAGGCCAGTTGATATGCATCGGGGACAAGTACATAGCGTATGTCAAGGACGTGTCGCCTCGCAGCATCACCCTCGACGTCCCGTTCAAGGACGTGTCTCGATCCGGGCTCACGATCAGTCGCAAATTGTACGATCAGATGAACACACTTGCCTCGAACGCATATCACGCCACCCAAGTCAAGGTTCGTTTGAAATTTCCAGTGAATTCTGTGTGCGGCTTTGTGCCCTGAACCGATTTGCCTTGGGATCCTTAATCGTGTGTCGAATGGCTGGCTTTGTGTCGCGCGCCGCGCCATTTTCCACAAGAGTTATCCGTTTCGCTTCTTTGCGGTGCGCGTGAAGTTTCGATTTCGTGGCCCATGCGACGATTCACCTTGTTCTCTCTCGAAAAAGGCCGAGGGTTTTCAAAGCAAGCTGCCACTTGGTGTCTGCTGTGTGACACTTTGGTGGGTAGAACTTTGGGTTGTACGAACAGTGTGTTTGGTTTTCGTTGATGCAGGCGTTGAAAACCGGTGTGTGGTGACAGAGAGTGACTCGTTGCCGACTTTGAGGGCCTGACGCAGCTCGACCGCTCCCCATTGACTTTTGTGGTGTAGGAATTGCGAGCCGAGAGTTGTTTTCTGATTGCACGGGGACATCACGCTGAAGGCAAGTATCAAGAAGCGTTTGGGTACTATTATAGCGCCACGCGAAGCACTCCGTCGTACGCGTTGCCTTGGTACGGCCTAGCGCAAATGTACTACCACCAGAACGCGCTGGACAAGGCAGCAGTGTACTTGGAAAAGACGCTCAAGTTGTTTCCGGACAACACGGAAGTACTGTTGTTTTTGGGCCACGTGTACCTCCGGTTGAACCGCAAACCCGACGCGATCGCCAACTTTCGACGTGTGGCAGACCTCGATCCCGGCAATGTCGACGCCTTGATTGGGACTGCCGAGATCTTGCATTCGTCGAACGAGCGGCACGAGCAACTTGCCGCCATATCGGCTTACGTTGCTGCTCAACGCGTGCTTGAAAACACGATGGAACCTGTCCCGGATGGGTTGCACACCAACCTGGGATCGCTGCATATGCGTGTGGGTCAGTACCACGAAGCAATCGAGTGCTACGGACTTGCTCTCGGGACGGGCGAGCGTGGCGCGCGCCCACCGTTCCCTGACGTGGACTCATCCAACGTGACAGTGCTGTACAACATTGGGTTGGCGTACGAAAAGCTTGGCGAGTGGAGTTTGAGCACAGGCATTTACAAGTCGATCATCGAGCGATTCCCATGGTACTTGGACGCGTTGCTGCGGCTGGCTGTGTTTGAACGCGAGAGCGGCAACCACGACCAAGCGACCGCGCTTCTCGACAAAGCCCTAGGTCAAGACCCGACGTGCGCGAACGCGTGTCTCCTCCAAGCCAACATGCATTTTCACAAGCGCGAGTGGAGTTTAGCGCAGAAAAAATACGAGCAAGTCCTCGGGATGAAACTACCGGACGGCAGCATGGCACTCAAGAATGACCCGTACACGTTCCTTAGTATGGGCAACATCTTTATGAGCAACATTGGTGAGAAGGGCCGATACTTGAAAAACATGACGCTCGCCGAAACGTACTACAAGAAAACGCTGGCCAGCAACCCTCAAAACGTGTATGCTGCTAACGGGATCGGCATCATGTTGGCGGAAAAAGGCCAGCTCGACAAGGCCAAGCTCATCTTTGCACAAGTCCGAGAAGCCGCGCCCGACATGCCCGACGCCTGGATCAACCTGGCCCACATTCACATGGGCGAACGTCGCTATGGCGAAGCGATTACCTTGTACCAAGTGTCGCTGAACAAGCACTACAAGGGCCAAGACGTGACTGTATTGCTGTATTTGGCCAAGGCGTACTACGAAGCCAAACGGTACAGTGAATGCATCACGACTTTGACGAAAAGCATCCACATCGCGCCCCAAGAGCTTAAGTTGTGGTACAACTTGGCGCTGGCCCAGGAAGACTTTGCTGTTGCGACCCTCGGCGCGACCGAGACGTCGACTTCGGCCAAATCGAACCGAACGATGGCCGATGTCCAACGTGCCATCAGTGATCTTCAACGCGCCCAGCGCATCTACGCGTTCTTGAACAACGCTGTTCCGCCCGCGTCGTCGAAGAAAGGGCATCCGATCGACATGGAAAAGGTCCATGACCACGAAACGTTTTGCAAAGAGACATTGGAAAAGGCCAGTGTGCACTTGGAATTTGAACGCCAACGCGAGGAAAAACGCAAACTCGACGCTGAAAATCGCCGCCGCATGGTGCTTATGCTCGAAGACGAGCGCCAGGCGCAGTTGCAGGCCCAAAAGGAGCGCGAAGCGGCGTTGGAACTCAAGAAAGCGCAGATGCTCAAGGTGACCCAAGAGCGGTTGAAGGCCGCGAGCGAAGCGTGGAAACAGAAGGAAGCGTTGGTGGCAGACACGTCCAAGGCAGCGGCCAAGAAGGGCAAGAAGCGCAAAGTTGACGTGGAAGAGGACGACGACGACGACGATGACGTGGTGGCGCCCAACAAAAAAGCCAAAGAAGCCGCGAACGACAACTTGTTCGGGTCGGAATCGGAAAACGAGGACGATGAGCCTCGAGAAACCATCCACGGCACGAACTCGTCGCCGCCCCGCGAAGTCGACGACAAGCAGCACGCCGAATTGTTCGGGTCCGACTCGGACGACGACTGAGCTTCCTCGATCCCAACGTAATATATGCATGCCAACTAGTCCCTCGAGCCTGAGGCACTACATGCCCTCTCATCCGCGCATGCGCATGTGCTTTCGGATCGCGTGGCCCAGAGGATAAAAGATGGCTAGCTCTGGTTGTTCTGGAGTTGTCCAGCCAGGTAAGATGATGCAGGTTTGACACCAATGCCTGCGATCGACAGTGGAATCGTCCCGCTTCGAGGTCGTCAGCCGCATGCGCCATCTTGCACGTTTCCATGCAATCCGCACTGTTCGTGCTCACGACGTCCACGGGACTTGGCTACATGAAGCCAAAGGAGGCATCGCATTCCCCTCCCAATATCGAGAGTCGACTTGCCAGTGGATCGACCCTGTGAAAAATGCCGAGCCTTCCACTTGCTCTTCAGTCGTGAATTCCACGACGTGTGTGAATGGCAGTAAGTTATTAGACCATATAGTGATAGCACCGACTGGACTCGGCGGCTTCCGTGGCACGGAGGAGGCGCATCACGTCGGCGTATCGAATGGCGGTGCCGCGCGTGTGAAACTCGAGGCGGACAAAGCTGTGGAACTTGCGTCGGGCAAACTTGAAACCGAACTGCTTGAGGACGCGGCGAACGACTTCCATGTCGACGTACCCGCGGTCGGTCGCTGCCGACGCGTTGGCGGCGATCTTGAGCGCCGTTTCGAGGTCACCCAACGACTTGCTGTGGTGGTGTAAATGGGTCAAGATTTGCATCACCATTTGCTTTTTCATCGATTCGACTTCGGCAAAGCTCTCGACGAGGTCGCTCAGGTGCTTGGCGTTGACGCGCCACGTCCCGTTTACGACGGAAAACTGCTTGACGAGTTGCGGCGCCAGCACAAATGTGTTGACGACGAGCGGAAGCACCATCCCGACCATCTTGAGCGCCGCCACGACGCGGAACCCGTCGATGTACATGATGCAGTTGACCCAGAGCGCGTAGTAGAACCCGTTCACGATCAGCAAGAGCTGAATGAGAAAATGCGTGAACTTGCGCGAAAAGTACGGCAAGTGAACCGCGTGCATGGGCGACGCAACGTCCAGGTGTGGCTTCTTGTGCGAGTGGCCTTGGAGCTTTCGAAGCCCAGACCCGAGGAGCTGACACAACATATCGTGGCGAAAGCATAACCACATGGACGATGGCCCATGATCACCGCCGTGGGGATCCACGGCGGAGGTGTCGAGCAGTTCCTCGGCGATTTTACGCATTCGTTCAATCGCGTCGTCCGCCGGCTCAAACTGGGCCTGGTCTTCAAGGCACACGACATTTTGTAGCGCTGCAAAGAGATGCTTGGGCTGACGCAAGTTGGTATGGCCGTGGCTTGGTGACGTGGCGGTGTCGGTTGGCATCGCGGCGACCGCAGCGTGCTGGAGGAGCACTTGCACGAGGTGCTTCAAGTACACGAGCAGCAATACCATCGCAAGCAGCAACAAGTACGCAAACAAGGCAAAGATTGTCAGGCGTTTGGCTTCTTTCGCCTGTAGAAACGACAACATGCTGAGCCTGCACTGAAGTAGTTGAAAACGCCGACGAACCTTGTACTCGGCGCCATCAAACAGCTCCCCCGTCAGCGCAAAGAACGCCGCGTAGAGGCCCATGAGGAAAACCCAGATCGTGATGTCAATTTCGATGAGGTGGCTCACTTGAGTTTCTTGAACATCTTGGATATACTTGGCGAATGAAAAGAGTTGCGGGAGCTTGTACACGTGCAGAAAGAACTGCCCGAGCAACTTGATCTGACAGCGAAACTCTTGGCGCGACCATTCCTGCGCAGATGACAGACACGGAAGAAAGCGGCTTTGGGACGTGGACGCTTCTTGACTCGCGGTGGCGTCGCGAAGGACGTCGCTTGCACTCAAAATCGCGACCTCGTCGAGCTCGCGCTGCGTGCGCTTGAGCCGCAGGAAGATGCAAACCGATTGCACCACCATCGACATGACCGTGAAGAGAATGAGCAAGTCCGCGGCGTCCATGGCCTGATACGCCAGACCGCCCTTTGCCACGATGCCAGCGTACATGCAGAACTTCACGAGGAGATAGATTAGCCCGACAATCATGAGCTCTACAAGAGCCCGTTGAGTATGAGTCGTACGATGTCATGGCCCGGTGGGCGACGTCTGTGAATGACGTACCTTGCGTTGTCTTGTGAAGCATGTCGCCGTACTTGGGCTTGTCCTTCCATTTGTGCTCGAAGTGGTGGAGCGTAAGTTCGAGCAGAATGACAAACACTGTCACGGCAAAGATGAAGAGCAGCACGCGACTCACTTCGACGGGGTCGCTGCTTCCAGCAGAGGCAGCCTGAACGACCAAGTGACGGCACACCGACGCGCATCGCAGTTCCGTTTCCGCTGTCATTGCGCTCACATCCACGTTTCGAGATACTCGGGTATGTAATTTTAAAGCGAGGCAAAAATCATACAAATATCAAGTATATCTTGGCCGACATGCATTAAAATGTCGTGTGACTTTCAAGAGCGTTACAACATTGGCCAATCCCAATGGAACGTTCGCGAGGCGATCGCGGTGTGTGCATCCGTTGACGATGGCCACGGCGAGGCGCGCGCTGGATAAGCTTTGGAGGGGCCCTCGATGCAGGAGCTTTGTGTGGGCGAATGCGGTATCCACGCTCGTTATATCATGATGGGGTGTTTGTTGAGATATCTCAGCCGTCTGGCTGGTCCAGGTAAAAACGATGGCGTGCGCAAGCGCGCCCGTTAGCGAACGGAATTGCCGCCTTGTTGTCGTGCGAGCCCACAGGATTCGCCACGCCGCAGTAGTTGGAGCTGCTGTTGGCTATACACAATGCTCTCATGACGCCCAGCCTCCCGAATTTCGCATGAAAACGGGATGCTCTCTTGCCACTCTGCGATCCGCCTCGGAAGGGCTGTCGTCGACATGTCGCCCATCTAGTGTGCGCACGAATGACGCCGTGCAAGAATTCCACCATCCATTTGCAGACTCATGGAGCGGGTCTGCCACGCGTTGTGCAAACACAAAAACACGGCATGGATTATGCGACGTCCGGTGTTGGAAGGCGGCGCCTTTGTGTCGAGAGCGTGCTATGGTGTACTGTGGGAAAACCGTTCGCTTGATGAGTCGCTAGATGGCCCCTTAACCAACTTTGCAAGCCGCGAGGCGACCAGAGCACATGCATGGGCAGCAGGACGTCTAGATTCGTGGAGATTGTCTCGTTGCACGAGATCGACGACACCATGGTTCACAGATGGAGCAAGCTAACAACATGCAGATGAAGCAAGTACGTCGTTGGGAGGCATGACAGTGCCTGGCACTGGGACTGAAGGGAAGATGGTCCTCGTGTCCGTGTGCTTTGGGTGGACGGCAGGATGTTGCACGTGGATTCCAAGTCGTTCAAGCACAAGCGGCCGATGACGCGAGGAAGCAGCTATCGCATCGCCAGATGAGTTTTGCATTGGCTGTGGTGGTTGGGTCGGGAATACTCTTGTAAGCTCGGTCGCATTCACTTCTCTTTGCTTTGTCAGAGAAAGTGCATCCACGTTGCACAAGGGCGACCGTTTTGTCGTGGTTGGGATGACTTTCCCATGTGGAAACGCCATGTGCGACACCAGCGCCGCCTTTCGAGGCGTGCGGGAGGCGGTGCATGCTTGGCGGACTCTGGGCAACCCAACGAGTGCAACGGGCTCGGCGAAGATCACGAGTAAAACCATACGAATGGCGACGTGCACTGAACGAACACCGATTTTCATGCAATCGCAATACAACCGGATGCGAGTCGTGGAGAGGCGATTCGCCTACACGGCGAGGCCCCATCGACTCGGCGGCCCCTCTGCAGTCGTGTGGTAACGATGCAGTCGACGCACTCCAAGCGTCGTCGCCAACGTTGCGACGGACTGATGGCATGGCTGCACGTCATGCCAACTTGAACTCGATCACGTGGGACTGAAATACGCACCATTGTACCCCCCCCCCATCGCATCGGATTCATCACGGCGGCTCGACCGCAGCTCGTCCGAGTTGGACGTGCGATGTGAGCGCACTCGGTTGCGCGTACTCGAGTCAAATCCACGGGGAATCGCTCGGGGGAGCGGACAACCAAAACCTCCACATGAACGCGTCTGTCCTACACGCGGACAGACACAATCGTTGGTTTGGAACATCCACGCCAAACCGACGATTGCCCCATTGTCCGTACGAAGTGCACGTGCATCCATCGCAAATATCGACGCCGGCATGCCGTCACCAGCACGAGAAGGTTGCGTAATGACGGCGCCGGCTTGCTTTGGCCAATCACATGGATGAACAGTATCGTACACACAACCGACCAACATGCCCCCACCTCGTCACGGGCGGCGACAGTCCTGTGGGTGGTCCTGCCCCGCAACAAAAACGACGTTCGCCACTCGTCATGTCTCGAACTTGCAGAGGCGTACGTCCACTTCCCTTCCCTCGAAAGCCATCGTGCCCCCACACCCCTCGCTGCCCCTCCAACTATGCTGGACCTTCGTGGCGTCGTGGTGTCGCTTGGTCCCTCGGCCGTGGCGATCTCACGTTTCAATGTGCGCATTTCGCTCGCAACGCATGAAATTCGACCACATATCCTAATTAGGACGTTAATTGCACGTTCGAATTTTCGGGGATGGCAACGAGATTGTGTTTGATTGGAGCGTTGGACGGATTTATAGCCAATGGGAAAATGGAATTGTTTTGGCCAATTCCATCGACGCAAATGCATGGGGAGTGGCGCCCACGAATTTCGGTTCATTTAGGATCCACACGATGAGCGGGAGGAAACGGAATGAAGCGCGCATGGAGCTTCAGGAACTCCAGATGGACCTGAAGGAGAACATGGCAGACGTCAAAGTGACGACGGAACCAGAGAAGGGACGACGTGGTCGACGGAAGAGCGCCAAGTACGAGGCCGTCTCGTACAGCAAGGACGACGAACTGTCTGACGACGACGACGACCCGTCCGAAAAGGAGACTCGCCGCAAAACGATGGCGCAGGAGATGAATACGATCCGCAAGGAATTCACGCTCGAAGTGATCTTGGGTCGACGGATCCACCCAAAGACGGGATCGTTCGAGTACTTGTGCAAGCTGGAAGGATTGTCGCACCTCCACATGCGGTGGTTGACGTACGAAGAAGTCGAACTGTTCTTTCCCGAGGGCCACATCAAGCGCAACAAGGTTCAGGCGTACGACAAGAAGTGTTTGCAGGGTGGATATGTTGACACGGACGAAGTCGACGACCTCGACATTGGGAACGCGACCGTCGAAACGATCTTGAATCATCAGGCCGGCGTGTCCAGCGAAAGCATGGACAAGAAGATTGACGACCGACGTCTGAATGTCCCTTACGCTCGCAAGTACCCGCGCGTGACGGATGTTTACCTCGTTCAGCACCACGAAGCCGTCATGGAGCGATGCCGTGGCATTATCGTTCGATTGATGGCCGACCCAAGCGCCGAGCCCTTCTTACAACCCGTCAACGTCTCGTACGTCACCTATGCCTTCAATTGTTGCGTTGTTTTCCGCCTCTTTCATCGAAGTATTTTCGAGCACGAACGACTTTGTCGCGGGCACAGTTCGATCGCGATCGAGACGTGATTGACGCATGCACTTTGTAGGGAGGTACCCGAGTATTTGGATGTAATTTACAACCCGATCGATTTCGGCACGATCTTGGCCCGTCTCAAGAAAGAAGTGTATTACTCAGGTACGTACGCATGCCCTGGAATCCAACCATGCCACCGACCTATCTTCTCCTTGAGTTTTTGTCACTTTGTGTCTTCGTCTCCTTTTTGCCACCCCATGCATGGGGTTTTCGCTCAGGAGGCTTGATGTGACGTCACCTGGGTCATCGTGCACCAGCTCATCTTGTACGTTTGACTGGTTCTAGGTCCCATTGCCGTGGCGCTGTTTGCATCGGACGTCCGGCTTGTGTTTGCAAACTGTCGAGAGTTCAATGCAGAGGGGTCTGAGATCGTGGCAATTGCCGACCAGTTGGCGAAAGACTTTGAGAAGATGTTTTACGAATGGATCATTTGTCCATCTGCGTGGAAATTGCTGCCGTCGACGGGGGATGCAGCTGAAGATGCCGAAATACTGACACAGTTTCATCATGAACTGGATGAATCGCATGCCCTGGCGAGTTGGAGTCCGTGGGACTCTGGATGTTCGACATGCCACAGCAACGACGACTTGGAAAACATGCTGCTCTGCGATCGCTGCGACAACGAACTACACTTTCACTGCCTGGACCCGCCACTGGATGAAACTCCGGAAGACGAGTGGTACTGTCCATTCTGCGAACTCCGCAACACGTATGAAGCCATGTGCCTGCCCAAAACAAGCGACGAAGACGATGCGAATGCCACGAAGAACGCTCCCGACCAAGCGACCCACCCGGTCGGGTCAAGTGCGTCCCCTACATTTCCACTAGTGCTGTCGGCACCAATTCCCCGCGACACCAAGTTCCTGTTGGATTCGGACACACGGACGACAGAATCACGACGGCAGTCTCTGCGACTCTTTGGCAACCACACGGTCTTCCTTGTGCAATGGAAAGGTCTGTCGATTCGTAACTCGACGTGGGAACGCGCCGAAGACATTGGCGATGACGACGCAATCGTGCGGTACTTCAAGACGACGAAAGTACCAACAGAGAAAGAAATTCTCCAAACAACCTGTCAATTGCCGTGCTGCGCCAAGGCCAACAACTTGAAACCACAGCAACCGGTCGGAGACAACTTGAATTGTGCAGTGGATCGCTTTTGCACCCTTGGCGCAGACCACGTCGGCCCGTGCGAACGCACCACGACCAATACGATGTCAGGGAACGACCTGTCGCTGCTTGGGACGCCCGCGTACACACATCAAAAGCAACTGGAGCAGATTCGCGCGCAATTGTTTGCGTTTCACTGCTTGTTGCATCACCACGCGCCGGACATTCGTGTGTTGAAGCAATGTGGGGCTGCCACTGCAGCTTTCGCGTGGACAAAAGAGTTGTTGAACAACGAGGCTAGCAAGCCCAAAGACGAGGATCAAGACTACTCGGAAGAAGAAGACGAGAGCAGCGACGAAGACGAAGACGACGACGACAACGACAACGAACTCCTGCCGCAGGTTCACATGCCTGCGTACTCGCAGTTATTTCTGGAGCCTGACCGACCATCCGACGAAGCAGACGACGAAGAGGATGACGCGAACGACGATAACGACGACGCGAGATCCCGCAAGCAACTGCCACCCGAGGCCCAAGTCGCATCCGTCCTGGCATCAATGGTAGAACATGTTGCCCTTGGGTATGCGTCGGACCTTACTCGAGTCCCGCCGAAGATTAAGAAGCCACCGGTCAAGCGCCTCCCGCAGATCGACATGACGTCGTGGAGCCATTTTCTCATGGACACATTTGGCCCGCATCATCGATACACGGAATACTACGTTGCGATTCAAAAGAGCATCCATGGGCTCGGTATGCGTCTTGGTCTGTCGGATGACGGCGTTGCTAGAGTGCTGGGGTTCCAGCGGTTGCAAAACGGCCAACTTGGTGCCGCAGAACTCACCGGCGTGATCGCCCCTGGCGACGTCCTTGTCGGTATCAACAACACCCCCACCGCGCGGATGGCGTTCAAGCAAGTGGTTGAAATGATCGGCGCGTCCAAAGATTACGTCCTCTTCACTTTCCACACAACGCGGCCGGCACCATTGTTCCCACCTGCATGTGTCGCAAAGACGATAGAACGCCGATTCCTGCCGCTTCCACCTCTCGACGATGAGCCTGAGGATGACAACGACACGGATGCCGCGCCTCCGTCCAAGTACATTCCGTATTCTTACTTGATCTACGAGTCCCCTCTTCATGTGAATGGACGAAAGCACAAAAAGTTTACGGCGTTGGAAAACTACGCTGCTCCCACCGGCCCGATTCAACACGTTCTTGCCGGGATCATGAAAGGCACGTTGGACCCCCACGAGCACTTCGCAAGCTTCTTGGCGGTGAAAAAGACGTCAGCGGCAAGCGCTCAAATCGTCGCCAAGACCCCGACAGAGTTTGTGCCGTACGAACAATCGCCAACCTTCAAAGGTGGACGCACCCTTCGCGCATACCAAGTGGACGGGTTGAACTGGATGATATCGTGCTGGAAAGCAAAGCGGTCTTGCTTGCTGGCTGACGAAATGGGTCTGGGCAAAACTGTTCAAGTGGTGTCGTTCCTCGAGCACTTGCGCACCGAAGAAGACATTCGCGGTCCATTCTTGGTCGTTGTGCCATTGTCGACTTTGCAACATTGGCGCCGAGAGGTTGGTAACTTATCCATACAACTAGACTGACATGATCGTGTGTGTGTGTGTCATTGAATCTTGGATTTGTTGTGGATGGATTTTGGAATGTTCATGGGAGGCATTCGTATTCTCTATAACACTTGCACGTCTGCTGCCCCTACTACCGTTTTCAACATGTGTTTGGTTTGGATGCCTCTGGGAGTAGGCCTCGGCTGTGTTCCCAACGTCATGGAGCAGCTGGAGTTTCGACGATGAAAGTGTCACGTGCTCGGAAGGAAGTTCACGAGCACCATGGCGCATATTCGTAGATTGAAGACTGGACCGACATGAATGTGTGCGTATACCATGACGTGGGGGAGCGTGGTACCAAGTACACAGGCAAGGACTTGCGCAGTTTGATTCGCATGCAAGGATGGTACTACCCTAACATGACACACACCAAGTCTGTGTTCAAGTTCAACGTGTGCCTCACGACATTCGAGACAATATTGGCCGACTTTGAAGAGTTTGAATCCATTCACTGGCGGTTGTTGGCTGTGGACGAGGCGCATCGATTGAAGAGCGCGGGGTCGCGAGTGCTCAAGCAAATGCGCGTGCTCAACGTCGATCGGAAGCTTCTCTTGACTGGCACGCCATTGCAAAACAACACGCAAGAACTGTGGGTGCTGTTGAACTTCTTGGAGCCCGTGATCTTTGACAACATGGAAGAATTCAACGACAAGTACGGCCGGTTGCATTCCCAAGAGCAAGTGATGCAGCTCCAGCGCATGCTCACGCCATACTTACTGCGCCGCGTGAAGGAAGATGTCGAGAAGAGCATTCCACCCAAGGAAGAAACGATCATTCAAGTCGAGCTCACGACGCTCCAAAAGCAGTACTACCGAGCGATTTACGAAAAGAACCGGTCATTTTTGTACCTCGGGACGCAGAACGGGCTGCCAACGCTAAACAACTTGCAACTTCAGCTGCGCAAATGCTGCAACCACCCGTTCTTGATCAAAGGCGCGGAAGAGCGCGAATTAGAGGCCCTCGGCGCCGCCCCAGACCCGGAAAAACTTATGCAAACGACAATCCAAGCCAGCGGCAAGATGGTACTCGTGTCGAAACTACTGCCCAAGTTGAAGGCCGAAGGTCACAAAGTTTTGATATTCAGCCAGTTTATTCGACAATTGGACCTCCTCGAGCGGTATTGCGAGCACGAAGGGTTCATTTATGAGCGCTTGGACGGATCGAGCATGGGCACATCGCGCCAAGCAGCGATCGACCGGTTTTCCAAGAAGAACTCGAAGTCGTTTATTTTTTTGCTCAGTACCAAGGCTGGTGGGGTTGGGATCAACTTGATTGCTGCCGACACGGTCATTATTTTCGATAGCGATTGGAATCCTCAGGTATGTTTCATTCATTCCGTCCAACACGCATAGTTCGGTTGTCTGACAACATCGCATGAAGAATGACTTGCAAGCCCAAAGTCGCTGCCATCGCATTGGACAAAAGAAGAGCGTCAAGATTTACCGCCTCGTGACTCGAAACTCGTACGAGAGCGAAATGTTTGACCGGGCGTCGCGCAAGCTCGGCCTCGAGCACGCCGTGCTCGGCACGGGATCGTTTAGCGAATCGCACGACATGGAACGACCGTCTGCGGAGATGCTTGTCGAGCTGCTGAAAAAGGGCAAGGAGTTGCTCACTTCGTGTCGGAACAACTCTCACTTGGCGGATAGGAGCGTACGGTCTCATGGATGACGACGACAGTGCGTCGCGATCGTTTGTCGAGCGAGATATTGAAACCATCTTAAAAGAAAATGCGCACGTCCGAATCGTCAACAAGCAGTTGGATGCAGTTGACGAAGAAGGCGAAGATGGCGACGATGCCCCGATCGCTAAAAAGTCAAAAAAAGGCGGCATCGTATTTGACAAGACGTCGTTTGTAGCTGAAGGAAGCACGGGTGATCTGAGCGTGAACGACCCGAGCTTCTGGGAAAAGGTCCTCGGCCACATCAGTGTAGAGATGCTGTCAAAAAAACTCGAGGATGGATCGGCGCTGGCATCACGACAAACCAAGGCTAAGTTTATGGCACAATTGCAACAAGCTCTTGGCCAACTGATTGAAGACGTGCGAGAAAACAAAAAAGAAAAGGATTCAATTTTCCAGCACGAGTATGAAGTCGCCATCAACATGCTGCAAAAGCTTGTCGCGATCAAGGACCAGTTTTCAGCCGACCAACGCAAGGTAGACTATTCTCCATTCGATTGTTAGTTTTTGCTCTGTACGATGACGTTGAATCCCCTTGGCTCGTAGGTCTTTGAAAAGTATATTGATCAAATGTCCAAGTCGCGTGTCCGTAGTTGCCGTGTCAACACGGTGAGCCTGGAAGACGTGAGCTCTCCCGTCCGCCGATCTACCAAGTCCACAGATGGTCGTCGCACGCGATGGAAGAAACTCAAGACCACAAATTCGCTCACAGCCTCAGGCGAGTCCCTCGCCGATGATTTTGAAGGCACGAGCGGAGATGTGTGCACATTGTGCGGCGAAGGTGGCGTTCTCTTACTTTGCGACGGGGCGTGTCACCGGTCGTTTCATCTCGATTGCGTCGGCTTGAAAGATGAACCGAGCGATGCCAAGTGGCATTGCCCAGACTGCACAGCGGGAAAACATCGGTGTCTGGCGTGTGGCAAAGTGGGCAAGATGGGCTCCGAGCAAGGTAACGCTCGCTGCTTGAGCCCGTGGACCCTCGAATGTTGTATGAATGGATCGTCGCTGACAGAGTCTACATACAGGTGTTACGCAATGTGCGATGGCAAAGTGTGGTCGATTTTACCATCTGAATTGCATGCACAGCAGCAATTTTCACGTTGAATGGGTGGGAAAGAAGCGATTTCGGTGTCCCAGTCACTATTGCGCCGTGTGCAAAAAGGGCGATTCTACCAAGGCGCATTTACTCGTTTGCACGCATTGCCCCAAGGGCTTCCACGTCAAGTGCTTGAAGAACCAGCGCATGCTTCAACTCTCGAGTGCGTACATGATTTGCGCCGACCACTTGGAGGCGGGGAAAGGCACTGTCGTGCAAGTGGACGACAACGACGCCGACAACGCCGAGGAAGACGATGACGAAGTTGAAAAGGATGTCGCCGATGGTCAAGATCCCGAATCGTCTGCTGACGAAGCGCCACTCGCACTATCCAAGCGGCACAGTCGCACCATCAAACGCCCCAAGAAACTTGACAGCGACGATGAAGACAATCAACCTCTGACAAAACGAAGCCGGTCAAAAGCCATCGTGTCTACTTCAGCTGCGACATTTCATAAAGGCAAGAGCAGTGCCCGTTGGACGAAATCGTCTGGGGCGGCGGCTGGCGATTCTTCCGACGAAGCCTCCGTGCACGAAGATGGCCAGGATGGCGACGACTTGTCGGACGAAGACATTGCTTCACCCGTAAAGAAGAAACGTCCAATCAAGAACAAGAAACCTGCCACCGCGCCATCGCAACGACGTGGGAAAGCGAGTTCCGAAAGAGCTGACGCCGCCGTTGACGACGACGATGTCGATGTTGACGGCGTGTGTGAATTGTGTGGACGCCAAGCGACGACCAATTTGCCGTTTGCCATGCCTGCCATTGTCGTCAACAAGAAACGAACGGTGGTTCACGCAGCGTGCATTCCGTCTACGTCGACGGCGAAACCAGCCCAAGTGATCCAAAAGGCCAAAACGACCACGTGTTCCAAGTGCCAGTCCAAAGGCGCGTCGATTCCGTGCCAGTCTTGCCGACATGTGTTTCACCTTCACTGCGCTCATGCCGACAACGGCGTTTTTGACGCAGACGACGAGTTCACGTGCCACTTGCATCGATGCAGTTGTAACGACTGGGTCGAATCCGCCGCCGTCATATGCATGCATTGCTTTGCGTGGTTTCATCCGACTTGCGTCGATACAAAGCCCGAGGACAGTTTTTGCTGCACGAATTGCCTTGAGGTGGGATTTGTTGTTGCGTCGGGTATTCGCGCATGGTTTACACCAGTACATGTGTAGACTCCGGCCAAGCGCAAGCGGGCCAACGACGACGAGGACATCCTCAGCGACGCTGACGAGGCACTTGACGAAGCACCAACCAACAAGACGCCAGAGAAATCGGGCACTTCTTCGCGGAGCTCGCGACGAGTGCGGCGGAGCGTGGGACGACCGTAACTCGACCTTCCATTCATCGCGCAGTTGTCACCTGTGCATCCTCCGTAAAAGGCAAAATTCCACCTTGCCATCGCATCGTTTCTTTGTCGATCGTCCCATTTTGTTAGGCCTTCCATGTCGTTGGACCAACGCATCGTTCACAGGAAACCTGCCCCGTTTTCAGTCGAGCTCCTCGTGTTTCGAAAACTTTTATGATGGACGCGTGGTTCATGTGTGGTCGTAATGAGCTGCTGCTGATGCCATTTTTCTTGAATATCGGCCAAAATGTCGTTTTGCTCATCCATGGCTTCGTTGGCGACGGCTTGCAATTGCGGTGCAAGGCGATGTCTTGATGGGGTCGGCGCGAAGGACCCCGTCGATGGGCTTCGTGCCTTGCCACAACGTTTCTCGTTTGGAACAAGTCCTGAACGATGGGCACGTGGCCAGCCATAGCAGCCAGGACGAATGAGTTGGACGACCGTACTGCAGCATTGGTAGTCGAAGGGAGGACATGGCGCGGTAAAAAAGATCGACGCTCCACTGAAGCAAGAGAGTGCGGTCCTCAGTATGTCCACATCAGAGTGTTGAGCAGACTCGAGACGAGAGTCGTCGACTTTGCCGAGTACATCACGCCCCAGTGGGCCACAGCGCAGTGCATGAGGTAGAGCGATTCGAAGCCTCCAGCCCTGTTTGCAAGCCACATGGAGCCACGGTGCTATTTCAAGATGATCATGCGTCGCCGCCCCGACCATAGTTGGTTCAGTGGACCCTCCCAACGATGTTCATGCAGCCTTTGTACAAATTCAAGATGACCACGGTCACTGGCTCTGTCCATCAAGTTGGTCGTGCAAACTTCTGTCCGATGAAGGTGAAGCCACTGGACAAACTTCAATTGGCAGTTCGCAGCTGCCGAATCCATTGCGCGCACAGCCTTCGGTGTAGTGCTGATGCAGGAGCTGCACGATCCGGAGATGGTCGTATTCAGCAGCCGAGTTCCCTTCCGCAGTGCCGCCCGATCGCGAGCAAATACTTGGCTAAATCGCTGAAGTGTAGTGCCCACAGGCAGATGCCACATGCACGAGGAGCCTTGAGTTGCTTTGGACGGAAAAGTCGTATTGTAGGAACACACAAGCCGGTCGATCACGTTGAATTGCGCCAGCGTGGCCGACCTTTCATGCACGTACGTAGAGAGCAAGTGCCTTCCGGGACAAGCACACGCCAAGTCGAAGGACACGTGCCGTACGTGGCGTACCAATGCGCAAACGTGTCGACGAGCGTCGTGATGATGGTCCAAGCAAGAATGCAGAGCTCACTTGAAGTCGTGCCAACTTTGCCATGGCTGCATTGCTTCCGCTACGTCCATTCGTGGCCAAGTCGAGCGGCCCTTCCATGGCGTTTTTCGATCCAGTATTGTTTGATTGGCTGATTTTCGATCCAATATTTTTTGATTGGCTGATTTTCGAGTTAATTCAGCAGTCGTCAACTTCGACACAGATATTTGCGTGGCGACTCCAACTGCCCCGAAATTGAGGAAACCCCTCTCCCCATCTGGGGATATTCTAACGCAGCGATACCAGCACGTGTGACCTGCTCTGACCTCTGGCGATATGATGAACCTTTCGTGATGTAGCAATCGTTTGTCTTTTGTGATGGTTTGGATTGGCTGCTGGTCAAATATCCACCAGAATATTTCTCTGAAATTTACAACGTTTTCCGGATAAACGTTACAGAAAAAACGTCGAAACTCGAATTGGGATGTCAATTCCTCGATCTCCTTGTTGCCGCCATGTGGATGAAGAACCCAGTTCTGCGCGTGGTGGTGCTTGGCTGCCATGATAGCGGAAGCCCTCTACGATTGCTTCGTGGCCATAGGAGCGTTCTGGAACTGATCTTCGCAAGGCTCTTGGTGGCATGGGAAGCTCATGTTGACACGACGACGCATGGTTTCTTGCGTCTTGGCCGGCGAGCAGGGACATACGGTCACGGGCGACTGCCGCGGAAGGTTACGTTCCCACCACGTTGGGGACGTGGTGGAAAAGAGACGCCTTTGCGAATCATTATGATGCCATTTGTCATGGGCGATGCCACGTCCTTACCGCCGTCCTGCCGGCGGTACCAAACCATCATCGAGACATGCCTTCGTGCCAGTACAAGCGACGAGCGTGGGAAAGTGGGGTACATTACGATCCACGAAGGCAACGTGGAGGCTGGAACATCCCAATTGCGCACTGGTCTATGCATTGAAACAGGCGGCGGCAGCGGCACGTTGGCAGAAAGCGACGAGCGGTCCTTGGGCTGGTCGACGCACCATCGCTTATACGGTGGAATCTTCGTGGCATCGTCGGTCGCCAATTCGTTCGCAGTGTGCGATGCTGTGCTTCAAGACACAACAGAATTCGCTCGGGCGTGCGGGGATGCCGAGCATTTGCGACCAGCTCTGGCGAAGCGCGGCGTCATCCCACAACACGTCGACCGGAGCGAACTCATTTGGATGACCGATCGGACTCCACACGAGTCGCTGCCACTTGCGGCGACGGCGTTTCACCAGTTCTTTAGTTTGACCACGAGCGGTGTATTGTGCTGGGATGCAGACCGCTGGACGCCGAACCCTCTGGGAATCCAGTCTGCGTGCAAGCGTGTTCACAGCAGCGCCGCCACCTCATCCCAGCGCCCCATGAAGCGCTCCAGAACTGGCACAAGTTGAACGGACCGGTCTTGGTTCTAGTCACGCCATTTTGCAGTGCACGTTTCGAGATGTATGGTTGGGCATTCCATCGGGGGCTGGCCCTTTGCGTCATGGAAGCCACCTTGACATGCATGGTGCGAACACGGTCAAGTGCACGTTGGGCTGAAGTCGGAACTTGTTGTTCGTGCCTTGTCAAGTCGTCGTCAACGTGCAAGGCTTGCCGTTCCAGAACACATGAGCAACGCGGAGCACGAGTCCTTTCAACTCAAGGCACGCTTGCGGCAGAATTCCCTCGATGACGATGACCTCTTCAGCACCTTGCTGAGCTATTGTACCAAAACGAGCACTTCAATGCAGCATTCGAGTCGTAAGCACGAGCGAGAACACACGCTGACAGGATAATAGCTAGTGCTGGGGAGCTGCGATCCCGGGAGTCTGCTGCGCCACCATTGTGGTCGCTGCGATTTGCAAGGTTCTTGGCAGCTCGGGCATCTCGACAAGACGGCGCGCGCCTTCTTGCGTCTCGGAAACTCGCGCTGATTCAGGATGTCTCCCAGCGGCCTGCTTTTCCCTGGAAAACATCAAATGGAGGCACACGACGCTCGTGAAAGCAAGTCCATGGTTAAAACAAAAGAATGAGGACTATTTCAGCCGGTGCACACACAAATGCAGGTGAACCTGTCTTGGGTCTGTGCGCAAAGTGCATTTGATGTACACAGCGCACAGAAGCACGAGGATGCGAAAAAGACGCCTTCAAGTTGGTTGCTTAAACGGTGTGCAAATCTCTGTTTTTACTCGTTCTTTTTGTGCTTCTTCTTTTTGCTCTTGCCGGCATCTTCTTCGTCGTCGTCGTCGTCCTTGTCACTGCCACTCAATTCTTCATCTGAAAAGTCGTCTGACCCGGACGCAGCATCGTCTCCGCCGCCAAAGTCTGAATCATCTTCCTCTTCTTCGTCAATCTCGCCTTCTTCGGGGCCGAGTTCGTCGTCTAAGGCAGCGCGGTCTTTGGCAGCGCCGCCGCCAGATCCGCCAGCTGCACTCGTCGCTTGCGTGTCTTTCAAGTTGCGGATCTTGAGCTTCTTGGACGTGAGGAACTGCGACAATTCAGGGAACTCCCGGCGATCGATCGCACTGAAGATCGTCTCGTACGGCTGTTCTTGTCCGACGCCGCGGCAGCTCACGAGCAAGTCAAAGTTACGCGATGCGCTCGATCCAGACTGCCCCGCATACCGCTGGAACTCGACGTAATCGATTTCTTCGTACCGGATGAATGTGGTCGGCTTGTGGATGAACATGAACGACTTTTCGAGCGGGAAGAGGACACCCGAGCTGGCTTTGACAGCGCACTTGACGGCGCGGTCCCCACTGTGCGTGACAAACTTGCCCGACGTGTACACCTTCTTGCCCATGATAAACTTGAACAAGGTCGCCACGATCTGCGGCAGACTGCCCGACATGCGCTCGTGGATGTTGCCGTTGTACTTTTTGATCTCTTCCGCGCTCAGGTTGACGTCGATGTGGACTTCGTCACGCGCGAGCTGCAACACCAAGTGGGGGTACCCCTGCTTCCCCTGTCGAATCGGCTCTTCCAGCGAAATAACGAACGCCGTGTTGGTCGAGTTCGGGTATTCAAGCAGGAAACACCGGTTGATGTTCGAGTACAAGATCTTGTAGTCGTACGTCTTCCCGTGCATGCGCAAGAAGGACCCGTACAATTCAACGGCATACCGACCACGTGGAGTGAGGAACGTGCCCATGCTCTCATCCAGTTCAACGATGCTCTTGCCCGTGACGTGACTGATGTTAGCTCGCTCGAGGATCTCATCTTTCAGGCTTTCTGCAGTCACACCATCGTCGGCGTCGCCTGGAATATATAGTCGCATTTCGACAAGCGATTCTTCGTCACCCGCGACGGTGTCGTCTTCGTGGAACTGAAGTTCAACTTCGTTTTTCGCGGGCATGGCGCACTGTGCGATCAAGTCGAGTGGGAGGTCCATCCCCACCCCTTGATCTTGCACGACGAAGTTCAAATTGGACCCTTGAAACTGCATATGCCCCCAGTTCCCGCCTGAGCTCGCCAGACGCTCTTCTTCCATTTCGCGTCCGAGTGCATCTCGCGAGAATGTGCGGATAAGGTCCACATCGCTTTGCTTCAGGCCCGTGAACCGCACGGTCTTGCCACCTCGCGTTGTAACCTTTAAGTGGTATTCTTTTGGGCCGATGGCGGACCAGAGCATGCTCACCAGGTCTTCCTTCGCAACCTTTTTCTGTGCTTCCGTCTGCCGCGACCGCCACAACAAACCCGAGTCATTCAGCACGAGGACGCCGTTGCTGTGGCCCCAGAATGCGCTGCTGATCACTTGTTCCATCTCCGCCATAATCTGTTCTGGCGCCACCACCCGCCGAAAGTAATATCCGAAATGATCCGGATAATTGCGAACCGTGCGTGCGTTTTGGCGCCATTTCCAAGTTTGCACGATATGGAGCGCGGCGGTCGGCAACAACTACGCGAGAAGTGCTTTCGTGGATCACGATATGTAGCATGACTGCGGTTACCTTCATTGCACATGTCTGTGGACAAGGTGCGAGCATGATGAAGTTCTCTTCCACAGCTATGAATCTTTCCGTGGGCGTGGAGTCAAGGGAGTGAAACGGGTAGACTCGTCAGCAACAACTTGCAAGTGACAAGGTGGATAGACAGGGACACATGCTCATCATCGTACAAGATGCGCTTTGATGTATGGACTCAGGTTTCCCCATGTCACGTGGAACCTTGTTTCCGTCTGAGTGTTTGGAATGCTCCTACCTCAAGACAAATACTTCCCATTTCAGAAGAAGCGTGATTCAAAGCACACACTGTCATGCAAGCGGCATGGATCAAGAATTCCAGATTCCATGATGTGTGACCTGCCATTTCAATCGACCGAGACGAAAATCCAATTTTCATTGCTGCTCAAGGTAATTGCTTAGCAATGATTTTTGCCACACAGTCGAGCGCTGCGAGCTCAGATCATGAGGAAAGGTCTTTTCGAGGCGCTTTAGCTGCATCGACTTCTTCTTGAAACTTGCTGCCTTGCACAATCTTGGCTGTGGGCTGAGTGCCAAGGGGATTCGGGGTCGAGTGATCTGCGTACCAGTGGGACACGCCACTCGTCACAAGGCGAAAATACTGCCGAAAGGTCGTAGTTTCCAGGGGCAGCGACTCGTGTGGCGTACGATCGGTCATCCAAATGAGCTCATTCGCCCGAATCACCGACGGTCGAATGCCGTGTTTCGCGAGGACGAACCGCAAATGCTCGATATCCCCGAGCGCCCCGACGACGTTGGCCGAGTCGTCAATCACAACGTCGTAAACAGCACAAGATTTAGCCTCAGTCGACGCCATGTAGATCCCACCGTAGATCAAGTTTTGCTGGAAGCTCCCCATGCCCCAATAGAAGTCTTCTGTTCGTTCAGCGACGCCGCCACCGCCGCCCGCCTCGATGTGCAGGCCCCCGCGGCGCTGGGACGTTCCAGCCTCAACCATGCCTTCGTGGATGGTTAGGTAACCCACCTTGCCGTACTCGTCGCTGCTGTCGCACGCTAAACACGCCTCGATCATGTCGGCATATCGCTTGCAAGGCTCTGGCAATGTCGTCACGTCGCCCATCACGAACGGCATCATGTTGACATGGAACGTGCTGTTCGAATTCTGCCACATCGGGGGAAATACGATTCGTCGTGGCACGCGCCCTGGAATACAACGAACGGGAGCATCTCGACGTCGACCCAGGTGTAAGAAACCCCGCGTCTTCAGGTCAATATGCGATGTCCAAGCTGCGATGAGCCTGGAAATAATCATCTCCAAGATGCCTCGCTGGTTTCGCAGGTGGCGCAGTGGGCTGCCGTCGTCATAGCACCCCAGCAGGATCTGCCGCAGCACCGGGTTCTCCATCGGTGAACTCAAAGTGCACCGTCCGTCGCCCAATTGTCATGCAAATGATGGTCACTTGGGAATGTTGGCAATTCTACAAGGTGATGACATCATGCGAAGCTGCTTGGATGGCTTGCGGCAAGCGAGCTCGCTCTTCTGTATAGCATCGTGCAACGCGTCGGGCCACCGAGCTCGCCAAGCATTTCGTATGCTATTCGACATGGCCCCATCGTCATGTTGGTGCTGCTCAAGGCGTCAAGAGTACATGAACGTCGGTGCTCACGGCCAACGATCGACGTGCTGATGCAGCACCGCCACGCACGGCGAATTCAGGTCTATCTTGCTGGGATGCACGGATTGTCTCCCATCTTGATTTTCGTCTCATTTTTTCCATGACTTTTTCGTATCATTCGGTGGGCATGGTTTTGATTTCTTGGGTCGATTTCCTCCAACACTGCATGGAACTTCGTCACTACGTGGGTTCCATTCAATCGTCGACCCGCCTTCGCAGGTATTCGGCATCGACGCCCCCACTGCACGCCATACCTTCAGAATGAGAGCACGTTCGTGGTACTGTTTTCTCGTTCAAGCACGGGCTGAAACCGGCGGACTTGCGAGGTCGATGGGCGCTCGTCAACCTCCCCCACGCCAGTCACAAGTGCGTGGCCCACAGAGACAGTTGGTTCTGCAAGTCGTCGGCGCGTTTGGCCTTCGCGCGGCTCGCAGGGCCGACAGGAAGCACCTCGTCGGTCCCCTTCGCTGTCCGCACAGGTTGCCACGTCATGGCGCGAACCCATTTATGTGCGACAGTGGTCACGCCGTACTTAGCGATTGTGAAAGTAGTTGCCAATCGATTCAACCTCAACGATGGACGTGACAAAAGGCGAGTTCGTCGGCGCGGTGACGGCGCTCCACTTCTCCGCCGACGGTTCCTTGCTCTATGCCGCGGTGGGATGCACGCTGTACGTGTATGACTCTGCTACAGGCAAGATGTTCACGTCGCCGCTCTCGATTTGGTCGCAAGGGACGATCCATGGCATCGACATTGGGCGGACGCGAACTTCATCGCTGGTGCTGTGCTTTGGGCAAAAGCAACTGGGCTTGGTCACGTCTTTTCCTGACTCGTCCTCCGAGGTGACACCGTTGTCTCCATCGATTGTGGCGACGGAATGCATGGACTGGATCTTGGACGCGCGCCTGCTGCTTGACGACATGGACAGCTCGAAGGTGGCGTTGCCAAAGATAGCCGTCGGTCTCTCCCACAACATGGTGCACATTTGGGACCCGTCCACGCAAGCCATGCTTCAACGGTGTCAATGTACCGAACGCACGATTTTGGTACGTCCCAATCCATCGTCGCCAAGTGCCATCATCGTTGACATTGATGTGCCAACACAGTACGCAATGGGGATCTACGGTCGATCGCTTGATTCGCTCATTGTCGCGGCTGGAACCGTCTTCCAGGTTTGAATTGATTGCACGTCAACGGTGGTCGACCTGGCCTCCCTCGTAGCACATTTTGCTGTGGCATCCTCCGCCTCTTAACCACGACCCTTCGACCTCCAGCGCAGCCCAAGTCACACAGCGGCTCCACCGGCATGGTACGCAATGCTGCGATGACGCCACTCGAAAATAGATCATTGGATTGACTAGACGGCGTGTTGTTCCAGTTGACGTGGTCGGCGACAGGCCGCCAGCTTGCGTCAGTGTCCGACGACCGATCCGTCCAGCTCTGGTCAAATCTGAACGATGCGGCGCGTGATGACGTGGCGCTTCCTCGTGCAGTCAACCTGCAGCATGCTTTCGAAAGCCGATTTCGTGGGTGGGGCCATACAGCCCGTGTGTGGGATGTCCAGGTGATGCTTTTGCATACCCATTCGACCGTGATGGTCACGGCGCGCCGAGTAGTTTACGCGAGATGGTCGACTGGTGAGTGCGAGCGAAGATGCCACGGTCAAAGTCTGGAGCGTCGCTGGCGAGTGTTTGGCGACATTGAGCGGGCACTTGGATACGAACGTGTGGCGCGTCGCAGTGCATCCGATCCACACGACTTGGGTGGCCACGGGCGGCGGCGACAATGCGATCAAGTTGTGGGATGTTGACTCACACATTGCAAACCAATCGTTGGTTCACGTAAAAGCCGTGCCAACGCTCGTGGCTCCATCTGCAACCACAAACGACGGAGGACTTGTGGCAGAGCGCTCCAAGAAAAACCACCATGCGATGGCCGTGCGCAGTTTGGTCGCGCTCGCGTCGAGTATCGTGTGGATCAGTGACCAAGGCCACGTTGGAAAGTCGTCGTGGAGTGCACACGCCCCAGCCGTCGTCCAGCAGTTCCAGAGCAACGTGTGCTGCGTTGCTGCCACGACCGACTTGATCGCGGTGGGAGATGTCACCGGACACCTTCGCATGCTTTCGGGTACTTCACTCGCAGAGCTTGCGATAGTGCAGGGCCACATGGGTCGCATCATGTCGATTTGGATCATTGAAACGAGCCATCGAGAGATCGGCGGCGTGACCGTGTTTACTACTGGAGTCGACTTGACACTGCGCGAGTGGACCTTTCATAGCCCAACGTCGTCGCTGACACTTGTCGCAACGTATCAGTGCCCAAGCAAAAATGGTTGCATCTCCGCGCTCGCCATTCCCACCACCGACGGCGGCAACGACGATCGCACGCTGCTGTGGTGTGGCGACGCACGGGGAAACTTGTGTGTGTTCGATCGGGCGGTGAACAACTTGACAGACCACGCATTGCTGCCAGTCCAGCCCATGCTTGTGCAATGGCAAGTGCACGGAAAGGATGTGGTACGACGTGTGCTTCTCCATCGAACTCGCGAGGATGGCGGTGCTGACTGGAGGCGGTGGCAACTCTAGGTGTCGTCGCTGTTGTGGCGCAACCAGCTGCTCTACAGTTGCGGCCACGACGGGTTTGTGTGCACGTTGCGATGGCATGGCGAGTCGAAGCAACTGCACGCCGTGCGTCGCGTGGGGATCAAAGGCCTGTCGACCCTCAAAACCATGCACTGGACTCGTCACAACGACCTCGTCGTGTTTGGATTCCACGCAGCCCAAGCCATCTTGGTAAACGTCACACAGTCCGTCCGGTTGATGTCGCTCGAGTGCGGCGGCTACCGTCGACCACACGCTCTCTTTTTCGATCCAAATGAACGGACAGGAACACCCCACGTGTTTGCCTTCACAACGCCCGGCACGACGGCCCTTCAAGTGCACACGGATGCCCTCCAACCAATGTCGACCACGTTGAATGGTACACGGAGCCCTCTGCCGCTATCGTGGCACGGCCATCATCACAGCAAAATGGGCACCTGCGTGGCGTTTCTCGATCCATCCGCTTGTACTTCGTGGATCGTCACGGGCGGCGAGGACTGCGCGTTGCGGCTCCACCGCGTCGTCACCGTTCCCAGCCCGCTTTCCGTCCATGTAAGTCGTCTTCATCCTGGCCGGACCAACACCAGCCAGTCCAACTGGAATTGCACCATGTGTGTTTGAATGTGTATTGCTTGAGATGGCGGCTAACCCTTGCTCTGTTCATTCGTGCAGACGACCTTCGACAAGCAAATCCATTGCATTGACGCGGTGACGATGCATGGGACCAACGTGCGATCGCTCGCTGTCGTGGGCCGTGACTGGGTCGTGTCAGGGGGAGGCAAGCAGTCACTGCACTTGTGGCGCGTCGTCGATGGGCACTTGGACCACGTCGCAGAGCACACACCGTCCAACGTGTCACAAGATCAGCGCATTCTGGCGCTGTCGGCGACGGCGCTTCTCGACGACGAACGTGGGGATGCCACGATGGCATCCCATGGTGATATTGCCACTCTCGCGGTGTTTGCCACCAACAGCGAAGGCCAAACAGCGTTCTTCACGGCCAACGCACTCACGGGCCTGAGCTTCCATCTCATGTGGACAGGGCACACGAACAAACCCATCTTGAGCTGTGCCTTGACCAGCAACGGCTTTTTTGTAACGGGGGCCACCGATGGCTATGTCGTCGTGTGGGATGTCGCGCCGCTGCTGAGCTATTGCCCACGGTACCTCAGACTTGTCACCGCTGGTGTTGTTTTAACTCGAGATGTGTGAATCCAGGCGTGAAGTGGCAAGTCCGCGCCAGGTGTACCAGTACCGCGCTCACGACATGGGAGTTAACTGCGTGTGCATCCGGCCAACGGGCGCTACGACCTTTGATATTGTGAGCGGCGGCGACGATCAGTGTATCGCGCATGCGGCTGTGGACGCCACGGACCGATCGAATATCACTGTGCGCCATTTGCACGGAAAGAGGAACGCCAGCGCGTCGGCCCTCAAGGCGATACAAGCGATGGATGATGTCGTTGTGGCCGCCGGGTACGATCAGCGAGTGACGGCGTGGGAGATGAACGGCGGTCACGAATGGACTCGGCGCGGTGTGGCGTATTCGGAATGTGCCGACATTGCTGGGGTCGCGTTGCGCCGGTGTGATGGCGGCGCAATTGAAGCTGTGGTCGTGGGGAAAGGCATGCAAACGATTGCATTCCGATAGAATGCAGTAATATTCGTGAAAACACGCACACATACGGGAGTCCAGTGTATTCAAAGGAATCGACATATATATATAGAAGTCAGTCCAAGTCTATTCGTCCAGGAAGCCCAGGTTGTCTCCCCCGAAAGTGTTTTCGCCGCTGTATGTGATGTAGAGGAATCCGTCCGAGTCCTTCTGTTCTTCGTAGATGTTCGACATCAGCGATGCCGTTGGGGGCAACACGTTGTTGATGAAGATGAAGATCGCCTTTTCAGGACTGAGCTTGATGCGCTTTCGGATCACATACACAAATTGGCCGACTGTCAAATCGGCGGGGACCAGGTATTTCTTCTTGTCGATGTCTGGGATCTCGCTTCGGTCTGCCTTTTCGCAAATAACGGGTATGCGGTCAGGGTACTTGGACCGGATGCGCTGCGCTTCCGCCTGTCGCTTCTCTACAACACGGCACGTTCCATGAGGTCAAGGCCACGCTACAGCGGACCAGCGCGTCCTTACCGAATGGGTGCTCCTTCTTGAACGAGTTCATGGCGGCGCTGTGGAAATTCTCAACTGCGGCGTGTGGGATTTCTTCGTTTCGGGGATTTCATTTTTGACCAATCAGAAGGCAACCTCTGGGAGAGATCGACCATCACTCTTGATCGACGATTGGATGATTATACTGAAACCAAGTGAGTTGAGCGACAGAGGCGTTATTTTTAAACTTCAGCCATTCTCATACAAATACCAAGAGAACATTTGGAATGTCAATTTTATTGCGTAGAACGTCCGGTGCCGTCGTCTTCCGGATATGATCCGCATCTTGCCGGATAATCCAACTTAAACAACAGCCGCCGAGGACGAGGGCTGCACCATGCGCGGGGTGAAAAGCCTGTGAGGTGGTGGAATGAAAACAAGTGCCCTGCATGCTGTCAAAGCATACTGTGCGAGGGTTCCTTCCACGCAGGAACCCATGTGCTCATCATTCCACCCCATCACGTGTACCTTGAATGATATGCGTAAGGCCGCCACAATGGAATTGCATTCCACCACATCACCTTTCGCCTAAAGTGGTGCTCTACGAGCTGCCACAAGGGAAACACATGACTTGGCCACGTTGTCAGTGGCCTAGTCTCGATGAAAAACACAGGTTGAACGTGAAGTGAACATTCATGGATGCGTGCAACGCTGTCGCAGGGCCATAGCGCTGGATGGGTTTCCACATAGCCTTGACATCCGAGACAACAACAGCACATTGGGAGTTTGTTCGGCACGAGAAGTGGAGCGAAGATGCAGCTTGAGCTATATGTTTGTTTTGCAAGCACGAGAGGTCATGTCTGGGAATCGTCGCAGCGGCTGTGGCTCCATGCAAATTGGCAAAAGGTACTTGATGGAATCCACGGTGGACACCCGAATGGACTCTGCTTGATTTCGGAGGCAAGTCGTCCAATGAAGCTCAATGCAAATGTTGCATGCAAGTATAGGCAAGCATGCCAACTTAAACACGACAAGTGGCGATGCGCAAAGGATGGCAACAGCGCTGCCGTCGTTTCCAACTAGGATACATCCCTGCATGAATCACACACGCAGGCACTCCCACAAACAAGCAGCTATTCATCGCGTACCTTGGTCTAACGGCCCGCGTCGGCTACCCGCCGAACCTGACCGACTCGTGCCAACGCGCCTGTTTTCTCCGCCACATAATGCCACTACACACGCCCAAAGCGCCGCTCGTTGGCTATGGCCGGCATCCGTTCCAGAACATGCCACCACCGCACGCCCTTGATGTTCTCGAACACGCGGCCAGCCGCGGCGAAGCCACTCCTTGCCACCACTGCTCGCAATCGGAAAATGTTCGATCGATAGTTGATTAGGAAACACATTTGATTGGCCAACGCCCATGGCGGTTGGGATTTCAGCCAATCCGAGATGCTCGTTTCGTCGCGGCGGACCACTCAAAACGCGCACAGCAGATACCAACCACACTAGAGAGCTGCCCCTTGTGACCTCATCCCCAAGGGCAATGGCCATTTCGAGTTCGGCCCGCACTGACGCTCATGGAACGGTTCAGCTACTCTCGAAATGGCGCCGGCATCGACCTGAAATGCAGCGTCCGAGTCGCGATCCCCATGGTGACCAAGGTCCGCGACAAAGTCCACTACAAGGTCCTCATGAAGACGACGCACATCACACCGCAAAAGACGTGGGAGGTCCTCCGGCCGTACTCACACTTTGCAGCCCTCCGCAAGGAGCTTCTCCTCACGTTCAAAGAAAGCAAAGCCAAGATGTGCCCTGGCTGCAAGCACTACGAAAACGCGATTCGCCAGTTCGACTTTCCCAAGAAGCACCTGTTCTCGTCCAAAACGACCGAGGTGCTGCGCCATCGCCAACTCGCGCTCCAAGCGTTCATTGCCATGCTCGCGTCGCATACGTTCACGACTGCCCCACGGTGCCCAGTTTGCAGCGGCCGTGTCTTTGAGCTCGTCCGCGACTTCCTCACCACCGACGTCGGTGTTGACAATGCCACGAACGATGAAGCGTTGAGCTCGACTCTTGATGAAGAGACTCGTCGCAGTGCATTTGCGGTCGATAAGTTTGTGGAAATCCATCCGCCGTCGGCAGGCGTCGTGGTCGACGCGAACGGGGAGTTTGTCGATTCCCCGACCAAACGCCAAAGTGGCGGCAGGTCAACTAGTGGTAGCCAGTCCACTAACAACTCGAATGGCCGCGACTCGAAGAAACGGACGAGCGTCCATAGCTTTGGCAGCATCAGTGACATGAGCTCGACGGGCAGCAGCACCAACGATCGAGGCAGTGCGAAACCTTCCAAGCTGCAAAAGGGCATAGGAAGTGTGAGCGACTTAGCAAGCATTCATCTTCACGATGACAGCGTCCGGCAAGCGGAAAGTGCCGCAGCACCGTCTGTGGATGCCGATGAAAGCGAGGCGGACTTGAACATGGACTTCATGGCGCAGATCTCGGCCGATGCACGGCCCAAGTGAAAACCAAAAACAACTTTGGTAACTAGTGCATCAAGACCTTCGTGCAACAACATTGCGCTTTCGAATTGACGAGAGCTCTATCATCTATTTAACAACAATTCACACTTGCGTTGTACATTGCGCGGCGGCCATGCGGTCAAAAAGGGACTGGTGCTGGCAAGTAGATCACGCCCGTGCTCACTTGGTGCGTGCTTTGCCGCGCCACCGACCTCTCGTCCAGCTGTCTCCACTCCACGACTGCATGCTCCACGAAGGAATTTGGTCGCCCCGAAAAATCAGTCGAGCGACTATCGCAGTGCGGCATGTGAGAGATTCCAAACAGTCGATGAGCGCCGTACGTTTCATTTACGCGACTGCACCGGTACCTCTGGTTTCCCGTCGATAGAGCACCCTGAGCACTGTCGTCCACACGTTTCCACGACGCCATCCAGTTGCAACGTGTACGAACCATACAGTGTACTTGACGTGACGACAAGGCTCGAGCACGTCCAGGTTGTGACATGACCGCGGTGCCGCCGTTTTGGGCTACACCGTAGCGACGCGACGATTGGCGTCACCGAATGAATGGACCTGGTTCTGTCGATAGGATTCTTCGTGCAGTGGCATGGGGGCAACCACTTCGACGAATTCCAACGCTTAAGGTTGGCCAAGAGGTGCCCGCGCGTGTGGAGGATGCGGAACACAACCAGGGACGAATGGAACGATAGATTAGGGAGGCAATTACAGCACGTCTAGAAGTCGGCGTCCAGTGTAAACGTTTGGTCGCTCGAGCTAACACCAACACCAGATTTGCTGTACTCGCCGACGCGCTTCTCGAAAAAGTTGGTCTTGCCCTGGAGCGAGATCATGTCCATCCAGTCGAACGGGTTCTTGGCCGCGTACAGCTTGGGGGCGCCGAGGGCTTCGAGGAGGCGATCCGCGCAGAACTCAATGTACTCGCACATGAGGGACGAGTTCATGCCAATGAGCTCCACGGGCAGGCTCTCACTGACAAACTGCTTCTCAATCGCGACGGCGTCGCCGACGATCTCGTGGATGCGCTGGTCGGACAACTTGTTGACGAGCTTCGAGTACATCAAGCACGCAAAGTCGCAGTGCAGACCTTCGTCGCGAGAAATGAGTTCGTTCGAGAAGGACAAACCCGGCATTAGACCTCGCTTCTTGAGCCAGAAGATGGAGCAGAACGACCCCGAGAAGAAGATGCCTTCGACAGCGGCAAAGGCAACGATACGTTCAGCGTAGGCAGCACGCTTATTGTCGCACCACTTCAAAGCCCAGGTGGCTTTGCGTCGGACACAGGGGATCGTGTCAATGGCACGCAGGACCCGGTCCTTTTCCGTGGCATCCTTGATGTACGTGTCGATGAGGAGCGAGTACACTTCAGAGTGAATGTTCTCAATGGCAATCTGGAACCCGTAGAAGCACCGGGCTTCAGGCACTTGTACTTCATTGCTAAAGTTCATCGCGAGGTTTTCGTTCACGATCCCGTCACTCGCGGCAAAGAACGCCAGCACATGCGTGATGAAGAAACGTTCGTTGTCGGTAAGCTTGACCCAGTCGCGTTGATCGTGCACCAAGTCTAGCTCTTCCGCTGTCCAGAAGCTCGCTTCCGCCTTTTTGTACATCTCCCACACGTCGGCGTGTTGGATCGGGAAGAGCACGAACCTGTTCGGATTTTCTGCAAGGAACGGCTCCGGTGCGAGCTCACCGTTGAGCTCACGGAGCTTGTACTCGGACATGCCCACGACGGCACTGGTTTCGTGGTTGGAAGGCGACATGAAGTGACGGGTTGCTCAGTAAGTTTCAAAATGACCGCCAGCTCCATCGATCTCGTCGCTCCCGCCCAACACCAGAAACCCCGCGAAAACCGGCCGTCCGGATACGATTTCAAAATCATGTCGAATGTAAAATAGCACTTTTTATTTGAATCAAACATACATTTAATTGTACCTTCCTTGCTGAGCACAATATATTTAAAGAATCATGCATAAAAATGCTTTGATTTTGGAAGTTGAATAACTTAGTGCCATATTTGTTTCCAGAGGTGATTGTTGGACAAGGCATCTCCCAGCGTCGTGTGTGGGAGATTTGTCTCTTATAAAGTCCATGTGTTCTGTGTATTTTAATATCCATGAGTTCCAGACGATTTGAGTAAGGAAAGGGCATTCATTTATAGAAGTTTTGAACTTCGGCGCCTTTCGAAACTCACGAGGGATAAT